TTAACACTTTGAATATATTTTCCCATTCTTTCCTCACTTGCATTGTTTCCTATGAGAGGTCTGCTGTTAGCCCGATGGGATATCCTTGGTAGGTAACTTGCCGTTTTTCTCTTAATCCTTTTTTTTTTTTTCTTTTTTGGAGAGGTTTTCGCTGTAGGGCTCGTGTGCTTGCCAGAAAGACAGAGAGACAGAGACAGAAAGTGAGAAATCACCCCCCGGGGGGCATGGCCACGCTGCAATCCCTTCTCCTCCATTCTCCTCTCAGGATCTTGGGCACGCACACACACGTGCCTGGCGTGAGTTTAAACCACTGGGTCCGGGATTCGAACTGTGATCGACTACATGGGAGTCCAGCGACATAGCCATTACGCTAACTGCTGGTCTCTTAACCTTAGTATCTTGTTTCTGTCTGTGGTTTTGGTCAATCTTGCTATAATGTGTCTTGGAGAAGATGTTCTTGAGTTGATTCTTTTTGGGGTCCTTTGTATTTCTTAGGACTGGATTTTTGAGTGTCTCTATAGGTTTAGAAAGTTTTCTTGCAGGGGGCCAGCATGTGGTGTAGTGGTTAAAGTCGCTGGACTCCCACATGTGCGACTGAGGTTCGAGCCCCAGACCTGGTGGCTTGCTTTCTCACTTTCTCTCTCTCTCTCCCTGTCCCTCTCTGGTCTAATTAAAATAAATGAATAAAGTTAAATAAAATAATTCTTTAAAAAAAAGAAAATTTTCTTGCAGGATTTCATGGAATAGATTATCAATGTCCTTATGAGTCTCTTTGCCTTCTGGGGTACCAATTATCTGGGTGTTTGATGGTATCTAGTAATATATACCTTATATATTATTCTCATTTTTTGGGCAATTTTCTCAGTCTTCATGGTGCATTTTTCTAGGCCAACAATTTTCTCTTCTACATCTGAGATTCTATTTTCTGTATGATCTAGTCTGCTTTTAACACTTTCAAGGGAGGTTTTGACTTCCTGTATTATAGCCTTCATCTCTAACAGGTCCATTTGACTCTTGCAAATTGTGTGATTCCTCTTTTAGACCTTACAAGAATTTCTTCACCTCCTGGAACTTGTCAGCTCCTTTCTTCTGCAGTTCGTGGTCTCTCTTCTCTTCCATCTCTATTAGCTTCATCATTATGAATATCCTAAGTTCTTTATCAGACATTTCCATGATTTCCATTGAACTGTCTGTGGATGAAGAGGAATTATTCTTTTCCCTTGGAGGAGAGGTATTTTCTTGCTTTTCCATATTTCTTGTGACCCTGTGGTGATTTCTAGTCATCAGATGGATAGTGTGTTTCTTCCTGATTCTTGAAGTTCAATCTGAGCGTTCAAGAGTGCGCAGAAGCAGGTGATCTGGAATCTCTTTGCTGTTTCATTTATATCCCTTTGTGCAGCAGATTCAGTGGATATGGAGGAATATGTTAACCCTAATAGTATTGGGTGTTTGGCTAGGTTCCCTTAGATCCGTCTAGAAACACAGAGAATGGAGGTTGAGGAGCAGAGTGATGAGATAAAAGAAAAAGAAAAGGAAACAGAAAGAGAGAGGAAAAAAAAGAAAAACAAACAAAAAAACCCACAAAGAAACAGAAAAAGAAGGACAAATTAAAAAACAACCAAAAAATGTATTTATTTATTTTTAAAGCAAAAAAAAATTGTGACAAGCGCCACGCAAAATCACAAGTTCTCAGGAGCCATGGAGGAGTCTTTTTTTGAAGGCCTGCCCCTTGCTTCTCCTGGATGGGTGGGGGAAACAGGATTACTAGCAAATA